GTTATATTATATTATTATTATATTATTATTCTTATTTCACAGATTATGGTTCAGTCCGTCCTGTCCGGAGTTGCCGGCTGACTCGATGCCACACGAAGGAGATTCGCCGACGTTTTTCAAATCAAGTCTACTCAAATATTTGAATAATTATCATTTACCGGACTTAGCGTTTTACGTGGAAAGGGTAAAACGATGCAATTTCAGTCATATAAAGTGAGTTATAAGCTGTTATTTATATTTATATTACAGTGTATTTGTATGCGTGTTAAATGGAATTTTACTACTGAATTTTGAAGTAGATATCTTCAACCTCGCAAGTGCGATTGCACGGCAAGGGGTCTCGGGTTCGATTCCCGGGTCGGGCAAAGTATTAGTGTTTTTTAAAAATCTTAGTAGTAGCACGGAGACTGGAATTGTGTCCGGTATATGGCAATAGGCTCACCCCCTATTACATGGGACTCATAATATAAATAGTGAAAAGTGGGTGTTACATTGTACAGTGGCATTGAGTGCCGTAATGTGCGTATCCATATGGACAAAAACCCCCTAAAATAATAAAAATAAAGAGAATAAAAAAAAGAGTATGGTAGATTCTAATACGTATTAGAATTTGCGAAGGTCAAAGTCAAATGTCAAGTGGTCAATGTTAAATGTCAATATCAAATGTCAAAGTTAGAAGTCATTTTTTTATTTATTTATTTATTCAAAAACAATTTATTGTGTGTAAATTATAACTTAAATAGTAATGATAAATTACATTGCTAAAATGAAAGTCAAATGTCAAAGTCAAATTCAAATGTCATAGTCGGCACGGTTGGTGCAGTGGCTGGGGAACCGGCTGCTGCGTAAAGAGTAGCAGGTTCGATTCCCGCACGGAGCAACTTTTCGTGTGATCCACAAATTGTTGTTCCGTGTCTGTGTGTCATGTGTATGTGAACTTGTATGTTTGTAGTGTTGGGGCGTTAATGCTTGTGTAGTGGGTAATTGCACATTAGCCACTAACCGAGTTTAGGAATCTAACCCTTATCGCTAAGCTGTTAAGGTCCACTATAGCTTGGCTGCGTAGCGGGATAGCAGGAAGAATGAAGAACGAAACTCGAAGAAATGAATAGTATTATTAGATAGAAGATAGAATATTATATTATAAAAATTTATACAAGCAAGCAAGCAACGTCTAAGCGCGTGTACACTAGTTTCGGTCGCCGACGTGAGACTGATGAAGTACCTCCTTACCGCGCGCACGCAAGTAATTGAAACATCGTATGATTTTAGACCGCGGCTCCAAGCTCATAAGCGGCCGCGATTTTGCGCGCATTATAAGGCGGTGGTCCAAGTTGTAACTCGCTACACTTGCAACGTTTTATTTAAAAAAAGAAGGGTCAAATAAAGAAGAGGTCTTATCTACGTAATATTTAGTATGTATATTTAATTTTTCAGCGTATTCCTAGTAGCTTCAGTGCCGGGGTCACATTTCGACGCCGACTGGGGTATGACCCGAGTGGGGTCACTGTTGAGGCAACATTGCTGCATACCCCCTGAGGAGACCAAGAATTGGCCCCTAATAGCCCAAGCTAGCAGTATTGGGAGCTATGGGAAGGACCCTAAGGTAGGTATGTTTTTATGGTATAGGTCGGCAAGCGATCAAACAGATCACCTGATGGTAAGCAATCGGCGTCGCCCATGGACACCCGGAACACCAGAGGAGTTACAAGTTATAATATGATGTCTTAGAGAAGTAACTAATATAACATAACATCACGCGTTTTATCCCCGGAGGGGGTAGGCAGAGGTGCACATTACGGCACTAAATGCCACTGTACAATGTAACACCCACTTTTCACTATTTATGTTATGAGTCTCATGTAATAGAAGGTGAGTCTATTGCCATATACCGAGCACAATTTCAGACTCCGTGCTACTATTCAATTTTTTTTTAAATACCCAGTAATACTTTGCCTGATCCGGTAATCGAACCCAAGCCCAGCAGTCGCGCTTGCGACCACTCGGCCAACGAGGCATTCAGCTAACGTAACTAATAAGGTCTATATTTGCTTGCAGCTGTGGTTGACTGGGGATTTTCTGCACAATTTTACTAAAATCAAGAATCAGTCCCAACTTTTGTCGTCTCCGCCGGAACTGAAGATCGTTTACCCGTCTTTAGGTAACTCAAGTCAATTTTAAAGTCAAATTTTTAATTGAAATGTCTCAATCAAATGTCAATGTCGAAAAATTACATAGCTTTTTCGACGGTTGTAATGTCAAAGTCAAAGCATTTATTTCAATTAAACCATATTTTGGTTAGTCGACAACACTGTGTTGGAGACTCCGTTGCCAAGGGGAAAGAAAATAAAATATATATTGGTACTTTTCAAACGTCAACAAATACAAAATAAATAATAGTCTGTCAGTCTGTCCGTCACTCAGTGAAGCTAGGTGCTCGTTCATAAAATGTAGATTCGTATGGAGAAGAACGAGTAAGAAACTCCGTACGTTCCTTTTTTTTTAAATATACCTATTTTTTATGGTATAAGCCGGTAAACGAGCAGACGGATCACCTGATGGTAAGCAATCGGCGTCGCCCATGGACACCTGGAACACCAAGGCGTTAGGCGTTAAGTGCGTTACCGGCCTTTTAGGGATTAGGAGTTTGAGGATCGTTGGGGATTGAGGGATTGGAGAGATTGGGGAAGGGGAGGGGGATAATTTGGCCTCCGGTAACCTCACTCACACGACGAAACACAACGTAAGCGTAGTTTCAAGTCGGTTTTCTGTTCGGCCGTGGTATCACTCCGGTCGAGCCGGCCCATTCGTGCCGAAGCATGGCTCTCCCACACAAAATTCGAATGGAGAAGAACGAGCACGAAAATCCATTCGTTACTCTTTTAAGAAAATATGTTTTACAATCTCTCTGATATATTATCCAATATCTATATATATAAAAGAAAGTCGTGTTAGTTACACTATTTATAACTCAAGAAGGGCTATATCGATTTGGATGAAAATTGGTGAGGATGTAGCTTAGAACCAGGAGACGGACATAGGATACTTTTTACCCAATACTTATTTTTTACTTTTAACCGAAAATCAAGAACGGGTACGGGAAATATCGGGATTGCGCGCACGAAGTCGCGGGCAAAAGCTAGTTGTACATATATGTAAGACAATGTAAAGACATGCTTAATACCTTCTTAGCCATTCTAAATACCTTCGCTCATCTAATAACCGTCAACTTCAATGTCCCACTCACCGCACTGACTATCTTCACTCCTCCTTTTTCGTTCAATCTGTCTCTCTGTGGAATGCGCTGCCCAAGGAAATCAGAATGGCAAATAATCGCTGTTCATTTAAATTTAAGGTTCGGGAACACATTTATAAAAAGTGGCAAACTCAAAACAGTGGTAATATGTAGTCTATGTATTGCATTTATTTATATATTTATGTATTATATAGTAATTATATCATATTATATGTATGCATATTTGGGATATATATTTATTATATAATTCATTTTAAGTCCCTATACCCTTAGTTATGTATTATCGACTATAACTATCATATCTTCCCTCTTTAATATTTTATACCTTAACTTCGTTATCTACTACTTCATACTTTCTTTTTACAATTTTGCACCTACCGCTTTAACATTCTGCACCACCCAATGGTCGACTGTCAGATAATGCCTACGGCATTAAGTCCGCCAATTACACTGTATGTGCAATAAAGTTTAATAAATAAATAAATAAATAAATAAA